CATGCTATAAGTAAACAGGCACAGAGCACCAAAGAGCAGTAAGGATAATATTTTGACTTGTCTCACAAACTGGGCACTAAAAAAAATATTTAGATAGACATCAACTGCAATGAGTTACAATGTTATTCTTCAGGTCTGTACTCTAATAGAGTTCTGTGGTAGCCTGGAAGTAAGCCAGCAAAGACAAAGAACCATGGGGAAATATGTAGATGATCCATAATTCACATGGTTTACCTGGCCCTACTTTCTAAGAGATAAAGGATTTTTCCATAACATTTAGTACCAGACAGTTCCCAAAGTCCTTTCTCTAAAATTTCATTCAAATATGTTTCATAGTTTTCCAAATGTTTGCTATACAAAGTCTTAAAAATATGTGAAATATTTTCAATTTCCCTCTGGTACCGTGAGGGGAAGTGTTCTACTACACCAAGGGAAGAAATATACTCTTCTAGTACTTCTATGTGTATTTATTTTTCTCCTGTTTAACAGAAAAGTACAGAATATAGATACTACCAGATCAGGCATACTGGACAAGATCAGGCATACTGGACACACAAGTTGACTGACCAACTCCAAAGAATATTTAAAATGAGATAATTTAGATATTTACTTAGTTACCTGAGAGAGTGAAATTTATTATGCAGATTTGCAAGCAAAAGAGCAACCAGGTATAGCAGGTGTCAGCAAATTATAGTTCATAGGTGAAATCCAGTGTGCCACTTTTGTGTGTGTGTGTGTGTGTGTGTGTGTGTGTGTGTGTGGCTCAAGCACTAAGAATGATTTTTAGATTTCAAATGACTGAAAAAAATCAAAATAGTATTCAGTAGCATATGATAGTGAAAGTCAAGTTTCAGTGCCCATTTATTTGTAATGATACACAGCCACACCTATTAGCTTATGTATTGTCTAGGGCTGCCACAAAGGCAGGGTTTAGTGGTCAAGAAAGATTAAAATATTTGCTGCTTGAGATTTTACATATAAAGTTTGCCAGCACCTGCTGTAATGTCCGGCTATGACATTTAAGAAAACTAGAGACAGATAAAAAGACAAGAGGGGCTTTGTGAAAAGTTCTCTAGGAATCATGCAATCCGGTTAACACCTTGGCAAAAGATACCTGAGCAAGACTGTTGAAACTGTAAGCAGATCCTCCTAGCATAGTTAACTTGCCCATGGGAAATGTTACTCAAAAAGTCAGGGAGTGAAGAGGACACTGATTTGCAACAAAAACTCTGAAAGTCTCCAAACAAGAAGTAACATTCAGTTCCACATGAGCTGAGGTGGGAAAGACTGGATTTAAAGGACAGAGAGTTCAGTGAGGGTTCACTTACATTTCTTCCCTCACAAAAACCTGAGGCAAGAAAGAGAATCAAAGCCATACTTATATAAAACTTGCCAAGAATACTAACTTGGGACATATTGTAAACATCCAATGAGGATGGTGTAATTCTTTGAGTTCAGAATGTAAACTACAGTTTCAATTTTATGATGTGTACCAAACAGTGCTCCATGTGTACAAAACAAATGGATGTAAATCTCCAATGTTTTACTAGAAAATGTCTGGAAAATAGTAAATTCTTGAGCACATAATGCACATGATGAATTAATTAACCCTCTTTGAACCATGATGAGATAGAGATGGGGATGGATTCATATCCTGATTATCCTGATGAGAAAAAGGGAAATAAAGGAAGTTATCCAGCTGTGGTCACAATACTGAAGGGAGAGATTTGTGTTTTAACCCATCCATCCACAGTGTATTCTCTGAGCTGAAGATTGTTTTGTTTTAAAGAATAGGAGCTATATTCCTCACTCAGTATGAGGGAAAATACATAAGTGCATACAGGTTAAAATATGCATGTTTGCTTAAATAATAGTAATGGCATTTGTAATTTGTAGGACTGTCACAAAAAAAGGGATGCTGTGAGAGCACTTTCAAAATATCTGGTTTAACTGCCAGATTTTACGGACCAGGGAAACTGAGTTCTAAGGTGATAAATTTCTTATCCAAGATTAACAACACCCCTGATTCCCTACCCCTGCATAGGATCATTACTTTACTTTGACTTTCTGTCCTCTTAGTATTCAACATGCCTTCCTGTCACCTTCTTGATCAGCCCACCCAACACAGCTCAGGCCTATTTTTAACCCACAGATCATACCCCCCAAGTTTATTCACACATACACACAGAAACACACTTTCACAACCTAATTTTACCCCATTAACTTTTATCTCAAAATCTGCAGATCTTCCTTCACTAACTTCACTCTCACTCCAAACTTTCAGTATGTGGGGCTCTCTCTTCTTGTTCCTCAGTAGGAAAAACTGGCTAGATTACAATTGACTGAGCTGAGAGCTGAACCACTGACAACATTTAAACTCCATGCTTTATGAACTACCAAAACTAGAAATGGATTTCTATCTGACGTGCCAGGCTTTTAGATCTTGTACCTGTGCCCAGTCCAGACATTTCTGAGACCATTAATAAAGTGGTAATCAACACTCTGAATACTCAATCTTAGTTGACTGACAATGAGAAACAAATGAGAAACAGAAATATTTGTGCTTCCATTATCTCCAATACAGGTAGAATTCCCAGTTTTGACAAGGCAGATTCAAATAAACATTTAGATTATAAATATGCACTGTAAAAATTGAAAAAAAAATCAATAAATGTTCTCTGTGGGTAATAAGACATTCCCCTGCCTGTAAATAGAGATAATAATGGCAGTAAACTCCAACCACCCAGATTTACAGATGGGAGAAAAGAACACACAAGTAATTCTTGTGCTCTTTTATTTTAAAACCACCTTCTCCTGTCCTTCAAAAGGGCCAGAACTGGAATTTGAGATCCATATTCCAAGGGAACCAAGAGGCTTTGCAAGAAATCAAGTGGTGATTTTTCCTGTTTTAGACAGTCAAAAACACTTGGTCCTTGAGTTCATTGAAACTCGTTTAAAAAAAAAAAAAGAAAGAAAGAAACAACACAGAACCAAGAATCCTTAACTTAAATGATAAAAGGGTCTGGAGCTCTGAGATCTTGTTTTATAAGTTGAGTGATTAACCTTTCTGATCTCTTCTCTTTCTTGTTATCAAATAGCCAAAGATACACATAACAGTAGCACTCTTCCCAGACAATCTCACCAAATTCCTCTTCTGCCTGCCTCCTCCTTCAGTTCTAACTTCTGCAGAAAGCTCCCATGTGAAATATGTTATGACCACAAAATCTTCTCTTTTACAGTACTATTGGTTATTCCCTCTGGTTTCTGAAAACAACAATTTTGTGACCCAGCTTTTTAAAACCCAGAGGCAGCATCCAATACTATATAATCTATTGAATTTGCTTGTAAGCTTGTTTACTCAGACTCTTTTCCCATCTGATATGGCTGTTACTGCTGTGGTGCTTAGGCTTGCTGATACAATAGTTCTAAATGGGTGCTCTGGTAGATTATTTGCTTTATAGGCAGGACCTACTAAATGATGAGGTACGGGGAGCACACAGGTTTTCACTGTGGAAATTAGGGTGATCTGAAGTCCTTACTTCTTTTCCTAAACCACTTACTTTTAATACTCTTAAGAAAAGAAGCCTCTAGTCTCTAGGTCTTTTTCCAAACGTCCTATGCCTCGAGCTCTGGACTTCACAGTAGCCAAACATAAGAGTAGCAATGGGCCATTCAGGGGTATAGGTGGAATATTCAGCATGTTTTCAATAATACTAAATACTGAGTATTCTCCGTTATCTTGGGTAGAAGAAGAAAATGGAATAGCAGTTTTCTATTTCATAGGTATTCCTACCATCTGGCCAATATAATGGGGGAAAAAAACCATCATACTTAGCTTATTTTTTTTTTTTGCTCTTTTATTTTAAAACCACCTTCTCCTGGCCAATTAAAGGACAGTCACGTTTTGTGATGCTGAGAACTCTCTGCTATTCCTTCTCTGGGTGTTATAATATTCTTGGTGAAAGTCTGTCAACTTTAAGACTGTTCTCAGGGTTTTTGAACATAAGATAACTCTGATTGGGTTCTGATTTGGAACTCAACATTTTTAAGCCAGTGAAAGGAAAGAAAAAAAATCCTTAAATGAAGTATACTTACTCCATAGAAAGTGGGGGTAGGGGTGGAAACTAGGTCTGCCAGCAGACCAGAGTACCTAGAAGCCCTTAGTATAGTGCAGGGAGTGAGGTGGGTGAATAGGTGGCTTAATTCAATGGTGGTTGGAAAGGAAGGAGGCAATAGCATATATATAAGGTCTGGAAATGGGAGTGCTTGCTACAGGATGTAATTTGAGCAATTCTGGAGGTGGTGCTGAAGAAACCTGAGTTACTCTTGAGCCCACTTACTGAATTATAAGCTGCATTTTAGCTTATGGTCTGAACCAAAAGATGATTTATTAAGAGCTTGCCTCTGGAGAGAAGAATAAAAGCGTTTCATCACTCCAGCTCCTCATCTACCTATGTGCTATTACTGCAAAGATGCCCCCAAAGAAGCAGCAACAGAGGGAGCAAGTGCAGAGACTAATGGTCTGCTAAATAGCCAGAACTCCTCCTTTTTGGGGCAGAGGCCAGGAAGATTTCACTAATGAACAGTCTTATATGTTACCATAGAGAACAGACTGAGGACTTGGTTGGGATTTACCCACTATAAACCTCTCTAATATGGGCAATTATTTCTTTTCTCACTAGGCAGCACAGTGGAACACAAGCAAGAAGGAAATAAAATCTGTATAAATCATTACTAATTTTTCTTTCATTCTTAATATCTGTCAAGCTCCAAGCACCAGCTGGGACCACCTACATTTTCTATGTTACCTGTACACCACAACTGCTTAAGTTATGGGTCTAGCCATATGGGTGGGAACTTCCTTCTTTAGGTTCTTAGTTTCTTAGAAAGGTCTCTTCCATGTGAGCATGCCCTTGAGATCTTAATATCCTTGACTTTAGAAGACTTGTGTATCTCTTTAGAGAGTAAAGAAGAAAAGAAAACAGAAGTTGAGGCTTTACCTTCAGCTGCTCTTTTAAAGAAGACTTTGCAACTTCCACAAGTGAGAGCTCCATAGTGACAGCCAGATGCTTCATCCCCACAAATCAGGCAGGTCTTCTGGGGTGGAAAGTAGTAGTCGATAGGAAGAACGTGGTCTCTGGCAGGATCCAAACTGGAAAAACACAAGAGAAGCAATGTAACAAATCTTAGTAGTTAGCTGAAATAGGAGGGTTGAAGACTGGGGTTTATAGGAGTGAACTACATATGTAAATTAATATAATGAATTGCTTAACTGAGTCAGTGTGAAGTTATATACTGACTCTTCTAGGGATGATGTTTGCAAGGATTTCCAGTCATGTGGACAGACCATTTTGGGATTCTGCTAAGTGATTATAAAAGTTACCTGGGGTCAGCCGATCCCACATGCTAATTCTACAGAAGGGAAGGAATGAAGGTAGAAAATTGAAGTTAAAGTAGCTAACACAAGGTAGTGGTCAAGTAACAATTTCAGAGCAATTAAATGGTATGAACCTAGACTTATGATCTTACCTTACCCAAAAGGAACTCTATGATCAAACTGACCAAATAGCAAGACAGTTTGATGTGCTTTGTTCTTCTTCTCTGAGTCTCAACCTCATCCAGAAAATAAGGACAAAGTGCTGTGCTTTAACCTGCTGCGCCACCAGGGAGGGCCCCAGAGATCACATTTTCTAAGTGGCTATCTCTAAGAAGGTCTGTGTCTGAGTTTTCCTGGGTAAATTTCAAAGAGATAGGCTAGAAAGTAAGTCTGAAACCTTTAATGGAAGGGCAATTCTCATTCTCCATACTAATTAAATCAATTTAAACAAATGGAACATGTTTTTTACTACACAAAGATCAACACTACTTTCTCATCTACATGCTATTTTCTAAGCATTAAACAATAAGTGACATCCTGAATTAATCTGTCTCAGGTAGATAATAATCACTCGCATCCACAGAAAAGATGTCTTTTATCTTTTATAAGATATATAGATATCGTAATAATAAGGAATTTGTATTCCCTGTCAAATACTGGGCCAACCACTTTTCCCAGTCTGCCTGGCCAGGTACAGGGGAAAGTAGAGGGCAGAGGAGACATGGGGAAAAAAACTATGGGAGGCAGAGACAATTTCTTCACAAGGTGAATAGAATGATAAAAACAACTGTCAGGCAAAAAGTGCCACGGCGTCCGAGAGGGCAAAGCCCAGCAAGTCATAGAAGGACTGTACTTCAAAGAAGAGTTCTTGGTATAACCAATGATGAGGCTACCAAACACATTCCCAATTCCAGCCCCACAGCCAGCTACCCCTAACGACAACAGCAGCTCCAGCCCCAATGAACCTAGCTGCGGTGAAAATGTCCCTTGTAAGTGTGCTGGTTTGGAAACTGTGGCTAGGAATATGTGAGGTCAGCAGATGCAGGGCTGCCAAGCTGCAAATACTCTCATCTGTCAGTCACTGGTTGTTTCAGCATCAGAGTAGACAGTGATCTACATACAGGCTGAAGGGTATTCCTGACCAAGGAGGGGTAAAGAAAAACTTGTTGCAGGGACGCTTTCAGTGAATGAGGAGATGCAGCAAAAGAACTAGCCCCAGTGCAGAGGAGAGAGAGAGAGTCACTATATTTTATGAGTACTTTTTTTTTTTTGCTGGCTTTTGTAAATATATGTAAATATATTTACATTTTTGTTTACTCTGTAAATTTTTTTCATCTCAGTTGTAATTTCCATGGACTTCGCACCACCACTTCAACCAGGTGCCTTCTCCATAGTCCCATGTTATCTTCCCACCACCGTTTTTGTTCTTGTTCCCCTCTCCTACCCCATAGAATGTCTCTGGTTTATAGTTGTTAGTTGATGTTCATTTTTACTATATTACAATTACTCTCTATCTATCTGTATATCATCTCTCTATCTTCTTTCCATGATCCCCTATGAGTGAAACCACTCTTTTTTTTTTTTCTGGCTTATTTTGCAAAGCATGATCTTTTCCAGTTACATCCATTTAGCCACAAATGGCATGAGTTTATCTTTTTTGATTGCTGAGTAATATTCCATGACACACACACACCACATCTTCCTTATTTTATAAGTACTTCTTTATTAGGAAAAAAAGAAAAAGAAAAATGTAAGCAAAATGGTAACCTATTTGTTGTGTTCATTGATTTCAGCACATCAAAACAATTCTGAGACAAATTTGCTTTCACATTATTATATTAGATGAAGAATGCCAGGCTCAGAGAGAAGTCCGTAACTATTTGATATCACACAGGGCTACCTGACTAGTCATTCAACAGTTACTGTTACCCTATTTTCTCCCTGCCACTTTCTAACAGCAGCTCTGGTTATCCTACTTAGGCCATTCATGAGAATCTGGGGGAAAAAGAATAAAACACTTGAAAGTATATTCTTCCCTCATCTCCTAGTTATCATTCACGAGGGCCGGGGCAAACGATGACTTTCACTGAGGTGATACTGAACTTGGAAGTTTTCTGTAAGACATGGATATTAACCTTTATTCAAGCCCCAAGTACAACAGAAAATATTCAAAAATTTCTACTAGCAATGCAAACCAGTAGAGCTAGCCATAGTGTCTTATCTTTTTTCCTTACAAGCATTCCCTTTCTTACCTTAACCAATAAGTTTGCAGGAGTCTGTCCACAAACCACAAGGTCACAAATCACAAGGTTACAAGTTTCACAAGAAAATAACTTACTTCCATTATATAAGTGGCTCAAATACTAAAAGACATTGTTGTAGCTGAAAATGTTCTTTGAGTAAAAAGTGTGCTCCCATCTTCATTTGTGAGACAAAGGGAAGCAGAGAGGGTATTTTGCTAATGTCTTTATCACTCCTCATTTTTATTTTTTTTTTTACTTTTGTAACTAATACAAATAGTTCAAATACAAGCAGAACAAAGTATTTAGGCACATTATGTGCTAGGCCCTTTCATACACATTGTCTCATTTGCCAAAGATCCTGCTGCATAGCTTGAAATCACCCCTATGTTGCAGTAGAGGAAACTGATACCCCAGACAATTAAATAAACTTACTCAAGATCACTCACCTAGTAGGTGGATATGCCAGAATTCATCCTAACTAAGTCTGACTCCAAAGTATGGATCCCTAGCCAATGAATAACCATGTTATGAGATTGAACGCTGACATGAGATAGATTGATTCAACTCAATTTCCAGCATATCACCTTATACACCAGCCACAGGGCTAGGTACTAGTGATACCTAATGATAATCAGTATATCATCCTTGCCCCTAAGCAACTTTCTGTCTATACAAAAGAAATATAGGAAACAAAGAATTGTGAAATGATACAGTAGGTAACATATTAAATCAGAATACAAACTGCTATAGGTGAGAAAGTACTTCAAGCACAGGAGTGATTTTTGAAAGATGTAAATGTACATATGGGTACATGAGATCATGATGTTAACGATAGTATTAATAAATTATTGCAAAATAAATATAAAAAAGTAAACAAGTTGTTTTTTGAAAGAACTTATTGTTTTATTGTGTCATTTTTATTGAGGTAATAATGCTGGTTTACAAAAATGTCTGATTTCATGGAATTGGTTCATACCTCTTCAGACATATGTTATCATACCCCACCTAGCAACAAAAGTACCCACAATACTCCACCACATTCCACTGGGTCCTCTTCCCCTTTTACTTCCTATTCCTTATCTTCCCTCTGGTAGTCTCAAATCTGCAGTCAGATTTCTAGGGTTTCTTTTGGTTCAGTTTTGTCTATCCCTTTTTTTTCTTTCATTATATTCTACATTATAAGTGAAATCACCCAGTATTTATCTTTTTCCTAGCTTAATATGATTAGCATAACCCCCTCCATATTGTTGTTCCATCCATATTGTTGTAAATGACAAGATTGCATTTGCTAAGATTTTTTTTCCTTTTCATTTATTTATTTACTTGTTTGTTTTTTATACATTTTATATCATTCTTCCTTTTTGTACAATGCATGCTTTCTCCCCTCTGGTGTAGTTCCCATAAAATTCCCACAACCAATTCATACATGCACCATTCCCATAGTCTCTTGTGTTCTTCCCTTGCCTGTACTTTTTAAATATTTTGTTTATTTTTGCATAGAAAACTGAGGTACAGTCCAGAGGAGCAGGGATTGGTATTTCAGAAGATTTCTTTTTTATATAATAATGAGTACTTTTCACTGTGTGTGTATGTGTGTGTTTGTGTGTGTGTGTATTGCATCTTTATCTACTCTTCTAATCTTGAGCACTTTGGTTATTTTGGAAATAACTTTAAAGGGAACCAAACAAAGGGTCAGGGGAAAAGACAAAAACTGCAGGCAAACCATAGATCTGAGGAAAATAGAAGGGTAGAGGAAGGAGTCAAAACATGGGAGGGAAGAGCACAATGGACTATACTGATGGGTCACTGGTGCCATTTTGATGTGAGGACTCTGGGGAATACATATGAGGGAAGAAATCAGATATTGAACAAAAATGAACAATAATGTAAGACAAAAAAGAAAATGCAATTTCCTATCCATACTAGATCTTAAATTACAGTTAAAATTGTTTAAAAGAGGCCCTCCCTGGTGGCGCAGCGGGTTAAAGCACGGCACTGAGAATCTGAAGCCACTTCCGCATGAGTTCAATTCCCGCCTGCGGCTTGCCCCGGAGGAGACCACATGGCGAGCCAGACCTCTCCTGACCCGCCCGCTGCTTCCCTCAGCAGTGTACTTCGTCGATATGCCTGTTCTGCTCCCCACTCTGTCTCTGGTGAAGCCTCTTACCGCCCCTGAGCCTCTGGCCTGTACCCCAGTTCTGTATGAATAAATAAATAAATCTTTTAAAAAAAATTGTTTAAAAGACTGATCAAATTTGTTAAAGACTGAAAAAAGTAATTAACATTTTGTTTATTAGGTATGAGTTCTATAAAATATACAAAATTTTGCACATACAAAAAATAACTATAAAGGAGAGGGAAGATGAAAAGAAATGATGAAGATTTCAGAATCTGAATTTTTATTTACTACAATATAGTTTGACTAGGGGCCTGAGATACATCCTGACTTCACCAGGCCTACTTCCTACCTCCTCTCTCCAGCAAAGTATTTTGGACAGCACTCCCACTGACTGGACTAGTGTGGGCAAAGGA